CAAAAAAAAGAGGATGGGAAGATCAACGATTTCTTCCTCGTAAACAACAACATTCCTTATTTTCCATAAAGACTATATGGTAACCCTCGGGATGAAAGCCTAAATTTAAGACTGAGGAACATGAGAATCCCAAGCCGACAAGAGACTGTAAAAATCATTTGGAAGATCAGTAGATATAATCCAAAAATGGATCCAGAGACCCCATGCAACAAATCGCTCTAGGAACAAGTGGAATAAAGAGTTTGGGACAAACTTACATAATGGGCATGAAATGTCAATTACACCTGGAACTCCACCCTTAGATAACTCCATTCTCACTACTATCCTCTTATGAATCACCTACCACATAAAAGTTTCCAGCCTCGATGGAGCTAATCTAACCCACACACAGTTGTTCCAGAAGGGGTCCTTACCAACCATACTCAAAATTACTCTCCTGAAAGATTTCACAGAATAACACCCACCACCATTACCAGTCTTACTGGAATAAAATATGCTTAATCTGATTGTTCTTGACTTATTTTTCAATATCAGTGATGAAATGTATGTTGTTCGGGAAGAGGTGGTGCTCTTCGATACACAAATGTTTGTCCTAGGCTTCTATTTCAATATTAGTGAATGGGTCTCCTTTGGAAGAGTTCTAGATAGCTAGGGGCCTCAGGCAGGGGTGCTCCATGTCACCTCTCTTATTCAATTTGGTGGGTGAGCTATTGAGTTTGTTGCTATCTAAGGAAGTGATTTTTGGGTTTGTTTAGAGGCTTCTAGATTAGGTTGACAATTCTTTCATATTGCCTCAACTACAATTCGCCGATGATCTTTTGATTTTTTTGAAATGCTTCTTTTGGTTAATTTATGAACGTGAATAAGGTTCTCATGATATTCGAAATGTTGTATGGCCTTCAAATAAATTTGTCCAAGAGTAGCTTATTATGGATTAATATTTGTGAGGATGACTGATCGAGTGTATAAGTGTGTGTTGTGGCACACAATTCTATGCAAATATACACAATCGAAGCAAGTAATATAGTAGTAAGTGAGTTATCGTCTCTACCAGGATTGGTGAGAATTTTTTATGATTGCTATAGCTAGAACTAGGTGTCACTAACAATTCCTAAGATTCTTGTCTAATGGTATTAACAAAAGGAAAAACAAGTAGTAGCAAACAGATGAAAAAAAGATAGAACTAGCTATCACTAACTAGTCCTAAGATTCTTGTCTAATGGTATTCACAAAGGAAAAACAAGTAGTAGCAAACAGATGGAAAAAGTATGGTCGATGCAAGAAAAATTGTAAGGTGAAGTGAGCAGAAAAGTTTTGTCGGGGCTAAAAATATATGTGAAGGTAAACAAATAAAAGTTGTCAAGGCAAAGAAAAATGTTTAGTTCAATATAGTCTGAAAAACCTTACACAATCATACCTCTAACAGAGCACTTGAGTTGGATTTGCTACGGCAAGAAATTATTCTATGTCTAGGATGATTTAGCATGCTATGCCTATGCTGCCCGACAGGATTTACTAGTATATTCCTAGAACTTTTGCTACGGCAATATTACCCAGTGTGAACTGCAACCATTGGTTTGTCAAACTGTTGCTGTATAAATACCTCTCAGCGTAAACTATAGCTCTATCTTATCTACTCAAGCATTTACCCTTTTTAGTCGAATAAAACCCTCTCCTTATCTCTAAGGCTGATTAAAACCTCACCATCCCGGATTAGTTCCCTTATTCACATAGATATAACCTAACTCTTTTGAATTTTAGGAATCAACTCCTAGAAAAATGGCAATCTTTCAAAAGTTCTTACAAAGATTAGGAATGTTTTGTTATGGCACCAACCAATCTTTCAAAAACTCTTACAATGCCAAGGAAAAAAATTAAAACAGTGAACAAAACAATATTCAATAAAAAACATACTTAATCATTCATTAACAATCGAATAAAGTATCATTCAAGCATTTTCAACACCAAATCAAACAGTTTATGGTGTGTCAAATATCATCCCAAAAATAATCTTTAAATACAAGCCCTTAAATGATATGAAAATGAAGCACAAGAGGAAGAAAAACTCCCAGAACATAGATCTGCCGCGACATCAGACCACCGCCATGACTGCTCTAGTGGCCGGCCTCTCTCGAGGGCATGGCCGCTGCTAAGGCGAAGCCTGGCTATGGAGGGCACCAAGGACGTCGAGCGGGGGACGGTGAAAAAGGATGTGCTACAATCGTCTTTCTCCAAGCCTCACTTTTAGGGTATTTTCTCTCCTCTCCCTCCTTTAGTGTGGTATAATGAGATATTTATAGTGAAAATTTCTAGGGTTTAGTTCTCTTGGAAATTCTTTAATTACCTTTGGTTTCATGCCTATTGTGTGAATAATATGACAGCTGGTACTGGTCTCAAATTCCTTAGCAGGGGCATGGTTTCACGTGAAGTGTATTAGACAACTGGCCAAGTGACGTCAGCAGTTTCGTCTTATGATGCGTTAGACTTTTGAGATAAAAACTCACATTGGCAAGAAAATTTGTTCCTAATTGTCGTCATCTTCTGTTCCACTCGCCCTTTGTCTCGACAAATAAATTATTCCTCAGTCATTTCCAGCATCGTCACAACCAACAAACAACCCTTCTCCTCAGCAAAACTTATCCACCACATGCAAATATATCCTAAATGCAACTATATGTAACTAAAATGCTATGTTAATGGCTTTTAGACAATCAATAACTTAAGTAAAAAGACCTAAAATATAGTCTTTTATGGAGTTATCACACCTCCAAACTTAAGCTATTGCTTGTCCTCAAATAATGAATAATGAGCAGTATAAACATGAAGTGTCAAGGAAAAGTATAAATTAGGAGAATCAAGTGGTTTAAAATTTCAGCCCTCAGCAACAAGTTTGGCCTCAACATGCTAGACTGGATGAGAAATCTAGCACCTTTCCTTAGGCCAGGACTCTCTGTAAGTGTGTGTGCGTGATTTTATCTAGTCTATGCTTAACGAATTTAGAAAATTCCGAAGTAAGTTCTTTTGTTTTGCCAAGACATCAAATTATTCATTAAGCATAGCTTCACTCCTGTTTATTCAACATGTAACTTCAATTTTTTTTCAACACTGCTTCAAGGGGAGTCAGCTCATCACACTTACTGTCCCACACTCTAGGTGACAAGGAGCTTGCCTTCCACCCTCGAACTAGTCAGGTAGAATCATCCCGCGACTGCTTTCATTCACTCATGTGCCAAGGCTACCATTTATTTAAGGGGGTTTCCAGGTAATGTTGTTGTATAGAGGAGTGTCCCTCTACAGTTATGCCGAGACATTTATTTGCAATTCAAAAAAATTCAAAATGCTAAGGAGTTCAACTTAATATTTTCAATCATTTTATGCCACGGCGCACAAAAGTTCTATCATAAATATTTTATAAGTACCTTAAGTATAAAAAACATACAATCGCGTTAACAAGATCATTTTGTAATAGGAGGGGACGAGTCTTTTAAGGATGATTGTTATGTGTATATGTATGATTGAGTTCCATATTTGTTAAACTGTTGATTCCTATAGTTAATGGAACCCGTATGATACCTTGAAAGACGTATATTTTTATATAAAAAAAAATCAACAGTTGTCTAAAACTGTGTGTTTGAGTTTTTGTGTTCTTAAGTATGCTTTATGTGTACTCTATTGTATGTTTGTTTGCATTTAAAACTTTAATAATGCCGAAGGCATTTTGTAATAGGAGGGACGATTGGGACCTTGTCTGCCCTTTATTTGTAGGAGTTGGAATTATATGAAGTATAAATTATACCATGCATTAGGCAATTTCTGGGGTTAGATGTTCTGAGATATTGTTTGAGAGTGTATTGTATTAATGTCCCAAGTTCTCATCTTTGTGTCCCATAAATCTTCTTTTCTTTCTTATACTTGCTTTCATGATTGGAAGAAATGGAATTTGGTTGAGTTAATCAAGGATCTGTGAAGTTAGCTGCATCCATTCGGTTGGTGGATGACACCCTTTGTCTATAGATATGTGGATACGTGAGCACTTAACATGGAACATACCTGTATTAGTTACATGCACATATAACTTGTCTGTGTTTGGTTTAGGTAAAGTCCCTAGGTAGCAAATTAGTGTCTTCACTTTTCGTTTTCATAGCTAATTAGCAGTTTTGAATTTTGTCAAAAAATTGTTGTTAAATTTAAAATAGAAAGAAAATGGAGAGTGTACTCTAGGAAGAGGCTTAATTTTTTAAGAACAAGAAATGCTCCACATATAAATGATGTTAGATGTATCAGTAATCAGAAAGTTCCCTTTTAGAAAAAAAATCTAATCATAGTATCTCCTCGGGAAAAATAATAAAAATAAAAATTTTGCATGGTACTAGATATCCACTGTTGAATGTTTATAGTGCTCTTTCCAATGAGGACTATTGAGGGCATCTGCATGAATTTAGACTGCTTACAAATTCAGTGAAGTTTATCTAATTTTTGTCATTATTATTTTCGGTGTATGAATAGCTTGTCTAATAGAAAATTAGTGTTGGATTCAGGACCTTACTCTTGAGCTTAAATGAAACTTTAGAAACTTGAAGGTTGTGATTTGTGGATTGTACGGGTTTAGGAACAGATATTGAAAATCAGTTTAAGTAAGGGCTTAAATAAGGTCTAAAGGTAGGCCCTCACAATTTGGGGGTTGCATTGCAGTTGGTATGTGGATAACTATGTTAGTTTATAACAGGATGTTAGATTTTGTTGCCTATATTCTGGGTTTTCATTACAATATTGTTAAAGGGAAGTTTCATTTATCCAATATTTTTCCGTGTATGATGATGAGGCTGTACATTGCTTCTCTCATGCTTGTGGTCTTTTAGGTATTATTTTTTATCACAAACATATATATACCTTTTTGCTTTCTGTTGGGCATGTTTGTTTTATATTTCCATGCGCCTATTTCTATTTTAGAGAACTGGATTACTGTTGCTTTCTTAATTGTATTTCCAATTTCCTTTGACAGGATCATTTACATCTCAAAATTGCTCAGTGTCACTTATCCTTGGGAGAAAAACTTCTAGCAATTGAGTTCTTTCAAAAGGGTATGCCAATACATGATTCTTTGGAAGCACTTTTAGCCTATGTGTTCACCTAGTAGTTGCACGTTTCACCAAGCTCAAAGAGCTGGGTTTGTATGTCTTTCCCCCAAAATTGTACTTGATCAAACTAAAAGCCCAGGAACCATTTTTGGTGTTTTTCAGTCGCAAGATCAGTTTGCTTGGTTGAATGTTTTCCTTGGAGGATAAGTTCAACATTTCAAGTTGCATTTTGTGGAGAAATTTGGTTTGGATGTTAATATAATGTTACGAAGTTGATGGATCTGCCGATCTGGTGAAATTAGGATTCTTAGGTTCTAATCAAGAGTCATATTCCAAAATGAAATAATCACGGAAAATAGCAAGAAAATATTAGAATAATGCAGAGAGTTAAGGAGGAAAAAGGGGAAACTGTGGCTCCATTATCTTATAAATGAAAAAGGTTATACTCCTACATGTGCTGTGAGTGAACCTCAGAGCTGGAATTTGAACTCTGTATGTGTGTGTATATTTATGTTGGCATCCATCCATTTTCCTGAATCTGTGAAATAGAGCCTGCCAGTTTAAGTGACATTTCTGTTATTCTTTTTTGTTATATTGAGCTAACACTACTGTTTTGGTTGATATATTATTTGAATTGTGCATTATAGTCCCTGTTTAAAATCTTTCGACTGTTAACTATCGTGGATGGAAAACTGCAGAGAAAGAAATAACTGAGGTTTTAATCATGTTAAATATTTGAGTGTGAATGTTTGTGGATGGAGAATGCTAGAACACCAGAAGCCAATATATGCATGTTTCATCCATGGAATACTGCCATCGAGAAGACTCAAAAGGCTACGCTGTAGATGCTCTTGACTTGTTGTGAAAGAGTCCAGATGAACCTTATTTACATATGTCTTGAGACAAAATATGAAAACCAATAATAAGCGGTACTGAGGATGATGACTGGTTACATTTGATTCTAAATATTTGATATAAATCAATAATTGCTTCATCAATTCCATGGTACAGTAGACAATTTTTTTAGAAAAAAATAATTGCCTTCTAAACTTGGGAACATCATGAATGCTTAATGAGTTTGTTTTATGATGAGTTGATCACATCATAAAGCATGATGATTGTCTTAATGAGCTGCCTATTGGAACATCTCCTTACTAGCAAGTTCATTTCAGCACTTAATTTCTCAAAGGTTTTTTTTAATGGCTGATAATGGATGTGGTTCAGCTCTGCAACGACTGGAGAACAATGTTGACGCTCGTTTAAATTTGGCTTCCCTGCTTATTGAAGATTCTAAAGAAGATGAAGCTATTTCTTTGCTTTCTCCTCCCAAAAGTTGTGGTACATATTCTCATGATTTTCTCCTACTTGACATGTAGGGCAATGATTAACAATCCTCTCTTTAATTGTTGCATGTAGATTTACACAATATTAACGAGAATTCGGATGCATCTAAATCGTGGTGGCTCGATGGGAAAATAAAATTGAAGCTGTGCAACTTTTATAGAGCTAAAGGGATGATTGAGGATTTTGTCAATACCATTCTTCCATTGGTTCAAGAGTCTCTTTATATTGAATCTCTTGGAATAAAGGTAATGACAAGGCTTTTAGTCTCGTAACATTTTCTATAATCTCTTTTTGAGTAAAACTAAGGAAATCCATAATACATCCAGATTCTAGCTCTGTCACCCAAATTTATCTACAAGGAGCTAGGTCGACTTTATGTTCACATTCAAAGTTACCTTGGAATCAATGTGTGTTCAGTTAAGACATGTACATCTTTTGTTTGAGACTTAGTGCGCATGCTTGATGTGTGTATGTGTCTAACAAGGTTAAGTTCAAATATTTCTTTGATTTTCCTTTTTTAGAGGGTTAAAGATTCAGCTCCATATTTATATAGGATAAACATGAAAAGTTGTGTGCGAGTGCAATGCTCTGAGCAGTTTGGGTGTAATTTAAGACTTAATTCCTTATTTCTTCTTCTTTAAAAGAAATTTATGTGTTCTTTATCTCATTTACTTGCTATTGTGTGTCAGATAAAAGTGAGGAAAAGGCTAAGAGAGAGTGAGCTATTTGAAAGAGTAAAATAAGTTGATGATCAGCAAACTACCGATGGTGTATTTTGTAGTTCAAGACCAATAGGTACTCCAGCAGATAAGTAAATAGAGAATTTCGTTCTCAATTTTTGTGAGCACCTCCGCACCCTAACTTCTACATTTTCATAATGTTGAAATGTTTGTATATTTAATGGGTGTACTAGATTATTGTGTTTATTTTTTGCGTGGTAAAATTGCATGTCTACCTTGTTATTTTTTACGCTTATTCTGCCTAATGAATTTGGGGGGGGGGGGAGAGAGAAGATATTGTTCATACTTTCTTTGTTATAGATGTTAATTACAAGTCTTTAACAACATGCAAGTTAAACCGTGGGACTGTTCTTTAGCTATTAGGACTGCAAGTGATTGAGCTCAGCAGATAACCTTTATTTTCTAGCCTCACTTATTTGAGCTTTTATTGAACTCAGCCTCTAATTAAATTTGAATTGTTAAGTATTTGTCATTGAAGTGCCAAGTTGACTTCAGCTAATTTGCTCCTATTTTGTTTAAATGAAATGCACACTCTTTAATTAATCTTTTCGTTTTTTTAAATGAGCCTAAATACAAGAAAGTTCGTTCTGTAATTAAAATTGAAAAAAGAAGAAGCTGAGCTTCTATTAGATTTACTGTGAGATACTTGATTTGTTTTCAGTCCTGTTTATTCTGGCGTGCCAAATATTTCTATATACTTTCATTTGAATAGTATCATCAAATACAAACACATAACTTGCTTAGCGCTTAGATGTGTTTCGTACCATTGAGTAAGATTGCAATCATTTCCTACTCTTTTACCCATAAATTGGAATTATGGAAAACCATATTTTGAAGGAATTCATTTATGAGATTATAATTTGAGTCAAAGCTTGTGTTATTGTCTTCTAAAATTAGTAAATGAGTATTTTTTCCCTTTTTTCTGAATATCATTCAAAGTATTTCATGCTGTTTCCCTCCATTTTTCATTCTGAACATAGTGTATATCCTTTTGCCTGGAATATGGTGTTTTGGGGATATGTTCTTTCTTTTTCTTCCACTGGCGATGAATTAACTTCACAAAATTGATGTCAAAGGATAGGATGAAAGCTGCCAGAGCAAGAAGGATGCTACAAAATAAAGCTGCTTTGAAGGAAGAAAAGAAAGCTGCTGCAATTGCTGCCGGACTTGATTGGCATAGTGATGATGGCAATGATGAAACTGAGGTGATCCTACTGCATTTATTTCAGTAACAAGAATTTAAAATTTTAAAATGCTGCTGCGACTCTGCAATTTCTGCTTTAACATATATTTTTTTGTTTGATGCTGCAGGAAGAACATTTTAAAGAACCACCTCTGGCTAATCTTCGAAAAGATGAGGAGCACCATGACCTTATTATAGACGTTAGTACATTCCATTTCAATTCTCTCTTTCTCTGATATCTTTGAATATAAATCTTTTTATTCAATTCAGGGAAAATTTTAGACACTTTTTGTCTTTCTAAAGCTGAGTATTACAGTTGGATTTCTTTCAGTCATAAAATCTTTTATCTGATTCCTTTTTTGTTTCCTTGGATCTTTCAGACCGATTGAATTTTATTTTATTCCTTCTTTTTCTCATACTAAATAATGGTTCTTTCTTCTGATTAGTTATGCAAGACATTGGAATCTTTAGAAAGGTATCATGAAGCATTGAATATTATCAAACTTGCTTTAAAATCAGGACATAACAATTTGCCAGTAGAGAAGCAGGAGCAGCTTCGATCACTTGGAGCACGTAATTCCTCACTTTACCTAGTCTCCATTCGTGTAGATTTGACCCACTAGTGTTTTCGTTAATGAATTTGTTTCCTTCATCATTTTGGCTTTTTTATGAATTGCTAAAACTTCGTATAATTCTACAGAAATGGAGAGCCCCAGAGTCTATGATGGTTGCGAGATATTGAGAAATAGAAAGAAGAGCAGAAAAGAGATAAGGAATTAGGAATTCATTCAAAAAACATGCATAATTCTCCCTTTACAGGTACCCGTTTTATTTGTATACAATAGTATTAGAGAATCTAACTAAGCCAGCTGGTTGTCCTTGCATAACTGATTTCGTTACTTCAACAGGGATTGGGTTGCTCAGTTGCTGGGTTAATTACCGCATGTGCCTCTCACGTGCCATTTGTCAGGTATCAATTCCCAATTCTACTTTCAATCCCTAACCCTTGTCTCTCTTTTCCCCCCAATTCTTCTTCGCTTTCTCGTCCTTATCCTCCTACTGTGACAATACCCACCCCTTGAGACGATCCTTGTCCCCAAGGATCAAAGGTTGGAAACTGTCCTCTGAGAACGGTATAATCTTCCCGTATCATTCGTCTCATCTAGGTTTGTCCATCGCACCAACAATTGAGTTGCAGGTTTGTTTTGTTGATTCATGATTCGTCTACCCAATATCTTACATGGCTTGATTCGAACTGACCTTCTTCATCCACTGTAGAAGGATTCGTTGAGGATTTTGCCGATTCCCCAACGTGTTTCTTCAAGAGACTCACATGAAAAACTGGATGCAAGTGTGATGTCTACGGTAATTCTAAACGGTATACTACCTCTCCAATTTTCTCTTTAATCTTGTAAGGTCCATAATATTTGGATGCTAACTTCAAATTTTTTCGCAGGGCAAGGGACGTTTGTCGATAAGGTTGCAATTTTAGGTAAACTTCATCCCCAACTTGAAAGACTCTTTCTGATCTTTTCTTATATGCTTGTTGTTTCATGCAATTGCTAGCATGTTCCAACTGTAGCTTCAGTAGCTGTCTAACTTCCTCTCTGCTACGCATTAAATCACTGATAGTCTGTACTTGTGTCTCTGTGTGCCATACCATTGTAGGAGGTTTGTAGCCATATAGCTTGAAAGGGTATGAGTTTTAGGGCAGTGTGGTAGGCAGTATTATACCACCACTCAGCATGAGGAAACCATTTAGCCCACCGTTTTGGTTGAAAAAACATAGGCCTCTTAGATACTGTTCAAGACACTGGTTGACCCTTTCTGTCTGTCCATCCATTTCTGGATGGTAAGCAGTACTGAATAGGTTTTTAGTCCCTAATTGCTTTATTAGTTCTCTCAAAAAGAGGCTAGTGAATATCTTGTCTCCGTATGAAATGGCCATTTTAGGCTGGCCATGAAGCTTATAGACATTATCCAATAAAGCTTAGCTACATCAGATGCAGTGTAAGGGTGGGAAAGTGCCAAAAAATGAATGTACTTAGTAAACTTGTCTACCACTACTAGAATGCAATTCTTCTTTGAGGATGTAGGGTAAAGTCATAGTAATTACCTCCCAAGCTTGTTGAGAAATAGGTAGGGGCTGTAACAGACCTGGTTTAGGTATATGTTCCACTTTAGTTTGCTGGAAAATGAACATGATCTTACATAAGTTGCCACCATAGCTTATACCCTAAGGTAATAGAAATAAGATCCGATCCTTTGATAGGTGGCTTGGGTTCCTGAGTGACCTCCATGAGGTGAATCATGCAAGGTTTGAAGAATATGTAATCTAAGAGACCAAGTAGCACCAATATACACCATGTCTTTAAATCTAAGGATGCCCTTTGAATATTTCCATTTAGTATCAACATTAGAATTGACAGTCAATATGGAAATCCATTCAATAGCCATTGGGTCCTCCTTATAATTGTCCTCAACTTCTTGAACCCAACTAGGTATTAATAAGGTAGTTCCCATAGCAAGACATTGACCTTGATCTTCCCACTGTTAGATAAAGCATTTGCCACCACATTTTATTTGCCTTTTCTGTATTGAATAATGTAGTCTAGCCCCATTAGTTTAACCAATCCTTTCTTTTGAATGGTGGTAGATTTTTTCTCCAATAGATACTTTAGAGGTTCATGGTCAGTCTTGATGACAAAAGGTTTGCTTTTAAGTAATGTCTCCACTTAGAAACTGCTAATAAAATAGCAAGATACTCCTTTTCATAAATGGAGAGGGCAACATGTCTAGGACTAAGAGCCTTACTAAGATATGCAATAGGTCTGCCATATTGAGATAATACAACACCTATGCCCCCAGAACTGACATATGTCTCTAAACAAAAACTCTTACTAAAATCTGGTAGAGCTAAAATAGGGGCAACACGTATAGCTTCTTTTAGATCTTCAAAAGCACTCAATGTTGTACTATCCCACTTAAAACTATCTTTTTTAAGCATTTGTGTCAAAGGTTTGCTGATGGTGCCATAATTTTTTATAAACCTTTTGTAATAGCCTGTTAAACCCAAAAACCCACGCAGAGATTTTAAGGTTTTAGGTACAGGCCAATTCCTCATTGCTTGCACCTTGCTAGGATCGTAGCTACTCATACAACTAAAATAATATGTCCCAAATACTCCACTTGAGTCGTCCAAAGAAACATATGGACAACTTTGCAAATAACTGGTTAGCTTGCAAAACTTCCAAAACCAATTGCAAATGAGTAATATGGTCTATCATAGAACTGCTGTAGACTAGGATGTCATCAAAAAATACCAAGACAAACTTTCTAAGGAATGAACTAAATAATTCATTCATTAATGCCTGAAATGTAGCATGGGCATTAGTGAGACCAAAAGGCATTACCTTAAATTCATAGTGGCCCTGATGAGTTCTGAATGCTATTTTGTAAATGTCTTCCTTCTTAATTCTGATTTGCCAATAATCTGATCTTAGATTAATCTTTAAAAAATAGACAACACCATGTAGTTCATCCAATAGATCTTCCACAACAGGAATAGGAAATTTATCCTTGACTGTCATACTGTTTAGTTGTCTATAATCTACACAGAACCTCCAAGTACCATCATTCTTTTTAATTAGGAGACATGGAGAAGCAAATGGACTTTTTCTAGGTTAAATAAAAGAGGAGAGCATGGTAGCAATTTGTCTTTCCACTTTATCCTTCTGGTTATGGGGAAATCTGTAGGGCCTTAAATTAACAGGAATAACTCATGCTTGAGAGCAATAGCATGATCATGGTTTCTTGTAGGTGGAAGCCTGTAGGTTCAACAAAATAGAGTTATATCTATCTAATAGAGGTTGAATAGCTGCAGGAATGGGTTTTTAACTCTCTGTCATATTCAACATTACTACATGGCCCAAAATAGTTGGGTCTGAAGCTGTCATTTTCATAGTGTAGCCCCTAAAATTTACTGTAAAAAATTTAAGGGTTGTTGGCCATGTATAACAATTTTTTAATCTTGATGTACAAAACTCAGTGTTATTTTGTTGAAGTCCATCAATATTGGACTAAATAATTTCATCTAGTCAACACCTAACACCATATCACTCCCACCCAATTTAAGGAGTCTGAAATTATGAATAAAATAATGTCCTTGTATCTGCCATTCAACCTTATTACATCTTGCTGAGCTATAGAGTTGCTGTCAATTAGCAACTGTAATAGCCAAAGGGTAAGGTATAGTCACTTGAATACCAGCATCATTCTAGTGTGGTGTTAAAAACTATGGGTACTACCACTGTCAATTAAAATGTTTAATGGTTTGCCTTGAATGGTTCCCTGAATTCTCAATGTATTATGGCCAATACAACCAGTAATAATATTCATAGATATTTCTAGGCTATCCTCTTCTTGTAAACTTGCTTATTTGAATCAGTAGGTAAGGTTTCTGAGGGTATAGCAGTCTTATATTCAATCATCATGTTCAAATGTCTTGCCTTACATTGGTGGCCTGGAGCAAATTTTTCATTACACTTAAAACATAAGTTATTCTGTCTTCTGTAGTCTAGAAGATTATGTGTTGGAGGTATAATGTCTGGACGCTTTTGTGGTAATGGAGTGGGATTTGGTTTAGAAGTAAGCAATGGGTTTGGGTAGGGTGTCTTTCTAAAAGATGGTCACACTCGTTTATTCTCAAATTCAACAGAGAGCTCATACAGTTTAGCTTTTCTACATGCTTTAGAAAGTATCTTAGGTTCTAGAGCCTTAAACATGTGTTTAATGTCTTATGTTATCCACTGATAAAAAGAGAGATAAAGAACTCTTCACATAGAGTAGGATTTTATAAGAGTATGTGAGGCTGTAGTTCCTTAAATCTGTCCTGGTACTCCTCAACTGACACTTTTTGCACTAATTTTATAAACTTCTCTTCTATGTCAGCAAAGGATCTGTCATTGAACCTATGGAAAAGGTCTATCTCAAACTCATGCCATGTCACATGGTGCTTCTGCATGATGTAACCATCAAACCAAATTTCTTCCTTACCCATTAAATACATCGTGGCCGCCTCCATTCTTTGTTCCTCTGCAATACTAAATAGAGAAAAGTACTTAAGACATTTTTGTATCCACCCTCGTGAATTAATTCCTTAAAAAAAGCAGCTCAATCTTGGGTCTATGCCACATCAATCCTAAGTGTTAAAAGACCCCCTTTACCTCTTTTATCATCCTCTAGGCCAACTATATTGTTTCTAACAACACTGTTCTTGCCTATTAGGTTATAATGTTTAAAACTAGGTACATCGTCGATTTAGATCTTAAAATCCCAGGTTCATCAGGTTTATAAGTAAACATGGACTTGTCATTAATCACTGTAACCTTTACATGTTGTTTTTCATCTTCTAGAAGTGTCAGGGGTCTGTACCTGGTCATTAGTAGACTAGTTTGATCCCTTTTATTCCAGTTAGAATCTTAAAAAGTTCCTCAATGTACCCCTGATTTATGACCATCATGGATTTCAAAGAAGTGATACGGTTCTCTTGGTTCTCCCACCACTTAGGAGTTTTAGTTTCATCTTAGGATTGTTTGACCAAAGTTGCTAATTCCTCAAGTTGTTTTGTAATGCAGTGAAATCAGGTGTTTCAGACATGGTTTGGGTTTTCTTTGGCATTCCAACGTTGATTGCCAGGAAAATTTGGCTCTGGATACCAAATTATGATGGTTGCGAGATATTGAGAAATAGATAAGAGATTGCAGGGAGAAGAAGAAAAAAAGAGATAAGGAATTAAGAATTCATTAAAAATATATGCATAATTCTCCCTTTACAGGTACCCGTTTTATTTGTATACAATAGTACTAGAGAATCTAGCTAAGCCAACTAGCTATCCTTGTATAACTGATTTGGTTACTTCAACAGGGATTGGGCTTCACATTTGAGCTGCTCGGTTGCTGGGTTAATTACCGCCTGTGCCTCTCACGTGACATTTTCCAGGTATCAATTCTGTTGAAAACATTTTGATGTTTCGATATAACAAATTAAATTAAAAGAATTTTAATTTTGAAAATGATTTTTCTAAGCATATTCGATATATTAAATCGAATATCAAAATATCACTCAAAGTATTTCAAAGCTCTTTTTAAATCCTTACTAAAGTGTAAAATTAAGTTTTAATCTTAAAATAATTTCAAAACAATTTTACAAAGTATTTTGAACCGTTTCAAAGCCAAAAATTTAGTTTGTCCAGAGGGAACCGATTCCCCCCAAGGGGGTACCGATTCCCCCTGAATGGTTTTGCTCCGAGAAATTCCAGTATGCTCGGAGGGAATCGATTCCCCCATGGGGTATCGATTCCCCCCACTGTTCAACGGTCGAATATTTGAATTTTACACTTAGGGAACCGATTCCTCATGAGGGGGTACAGATTCCCCCCACGTTCTTAGCAGAAATATTAATTGTTTTCACACTTAAACGGCTCCAATAACTTCATTAATGATCCCGACATTCAGAAGTGATTCAAGGTGTATTTAAACAAGCTTAGAAGCCATTGATCAATAACAAGAAACATCAAGCAACTAGAATCAAGAGAGAAT